TGATGTGCCTTGAAAATGGTTTCTTCTCCTCTTCTCCCGGTCTGTCTGCTCAGGAGGTCTTACCCTAGTTTAGAGAATGCTAATTCAGTCTGACCACTAAGCGGGAGTCTGGGCTGCGTGGTTGAACCGTCTTTGTGTTCCCCAGGCCTGGCATCGCCGGCGGCAGATCAGCTGCACTGATAGGAGAGGGAAACCAGGGCAACCTCCAACCTAACCCACCAATCACATCGCTTGCTCGCGCTCTCATCGCTGCAGCCGTTGACAAATGACCCCAACGCACCCCCACCCTAACCACCACATACAGTCGCAGGTGTATGTGAAACCTGTGTCAGGACACCTGTTTCTGTGTGTGTGTGTGTGTGAATCTCCAGCATAGTAAGTGTACACCAGCTTGTGTTTCTTTTTGCAAACAGGTTTATGGGAGGAAAGAAAGTGGTTTATGTTAGTAAATACATTTTGTGTCTGTACATATTGATTAATACATATTATCTGTGTTTTTGCATGCTGTGTTTCTGTGTTTGTGTTGGTTAGCATTGTGTGATTCCTTTCTCAGGAAATCACAGGGACCACCACAGCAAAGGATGTTTTTTTAATTCGCTCACCCAGTAACTAAAAATGGGCTTCCTCTATTCTGCACGGAGAGAAATTCACCATCAGAGAGAGCACATTAAACTGCTCTTCAGGCCCACAGTGTGCACACACACACACACACACACACACTTACACAGTCATCCCAGAAAAACACCAAGGTTACATAATGCAGAGCAATACCTCAAAAGTACACGTTCACAAACAGCCAACCACAGCTCCTATCACTGTTACAGGACTCATATCTGAGCTCTGAGCTGCAGAGAGTAGCAATAAAATGTTCATTTATTTGGTGCAGCTTGTTGATGTTGTAACACGGCCACAGCAAGTTTGGGTAAGAAGAGATACTTGGGTCCACGTTTGTATTTCATTCTTTGTCAGCCACCACTACCACAGGCTAATGATAGGTTAAGAAAGACGAGAGTCCTTGAGGAAATGTGGAAATAAATGCAGAAGAAATCGCACAAGAAAACAAGACAGAGCTTAGAGACAAGGGACCACTCATCTCGCTGGTGTTGACAGTAGCCATATGGCCAACATTCGTTGACCAGCTAATACCTGAGATTATAGCCTGGCTCACACAAATGAGATGTGAGATAATTTTTATTTAGACAAGAAACATGAGCTGTCAGTGAGGACGCAGCTTGAAAGTAGATTGAGAGATGTATTAATCAGGACGAGGAAGACGTGATATCCATCCTATTAATTTTTTTATAAATCTGAAAAACATTTCTGATGTCCCCACCCACCCCTGCTGTTGAACTCTGGGTGTGGAGCAATAACAGTGGCCTCAGTGTCAGTCTGGATTCCACTGTGTTTTGGGGAAAATTCCTCTTCTCTCCTAACAGTCATGTTATAGAAGCCAAGTGCAATTTGTGCCAAAATGCGAGTATGTAAGGATTCAGGGGAAGACAAAACCCCACTGTGTATCCTGTCCTATCCAGAGAGAGAAAAACAAAATGGATAGGTGGACGCTTTTTGACGTTTCCTAATTTCCAAGTGTAAACAATTCAATTGAATCTTGAGGAGAACAAATGCAATTAGCAGCAAGAATTTGCTCAAGCTGCTTTCTGTTCCCCGAGCATTGGGTAAGTGTTTGTGAATGGTTTTAAATCACACTTAACCCTACTAAGAGAGAGTTGATGGTCTGAAGAAGTACATAGACGGAGAACTATAAATTAAGAAATCAAGGACACACTGAGAACTGAAGCACTGGGTTAATGAAAGGTTAATATTTTAATCTCTGTGCATTTTTGTGAAGATTAGCTGATACCGGCAGCAGCCATGCAGGACTGTTCCTCTCTCTTTTGTGATCTGTGTATGTATGTATGGATGTGTGTGACTGTGTGTGTGCTTGTGAAGAGAGGTGGGGGGCAGTGAGGGGTTCTTGGCATGGCTCAGCAGTCTTGTGATGGCAGATCAGGAGTTTGTTCTTAGGGGACTCAAAAACAGGTACCTTCTTCCTCCCAGGGCACCATATTTCTTTGGTTAGAAATGCATGTAAGTTTAGAGAAACAAAGTTATCTTGTTATATAAAATGCATTTTTGGTTCTAGGTATCATCTTGGGAATGGTTTATGGCCAGATTGGAAAGTAACTCTTTGTTTCTTTAAGTAAAAACGAAAGCAATATGATAAAAATAATGACTTCTGTTGTTTCTCACTGACTTCATGAAGCAAAAACAGACGGAGAATCACAGTGTTTATGACAGCAGCGTTGGTTAAATATTAATATATGAATGCCTGGCTGTAAGTACGTGGGATTTATGGATGCATCATCCTGATGGACACTTTTTCACACCTGTATGTGAGGGTTGCTACTGGAGCCATTTAGTAAAAACAGCTCTTAACCCCCACTCAGACAATGCATATTCAACATTTTCTCTCCTTTTCTTTTCTTTTTTTTTTTTTTACTTCCCTTCTACCTCACATAAACATTTGCTCATGTACTTGTGTAAAACACCCATGTGTCACAGGAAAACACATGTACATTTGCTTGTACTGTTTCTATGTATATTTATATATAAAAGTACATGATAGGTAAATGTGTTATCACATATCATAAATGTACTGCTCTTTAAGCTGTCTGAACATTCAAAAACATTGACACATGCATACAGGTGGCTTTCTATCCAAAGAGTGGTGGCTACTGAGAGGCAGGTATGACCCAGTCTGTCAAATAAAAACTGATGGAAAACTTGTGGTTGCCATCAAACTCTCATATGTGAGAATCTCTCATATGCCCGACGGAAGAGCAGTCAATGAAACAAAATGGCTCCCTTTGCTCAGTCATTGCCAGCAATTTGGCCGAGGTTTCCTTGGCAACACAAACTTGGTTTCTCACTGAGGACAAGGAGAGATGGTGCTGTTATATCGCAGCCGCAACAACACTTATTGTTTTCTCATCAGTTCTCCCCTCTGTGTCAGCAGGCGTGATCATAGTAATGCAGAGCCGTTTATTCATCTCTCATGGATGTAAGCTCTCAGACGAGAACCACAGATCAGATATGTTTTTGGTCTGTACGCTGAAATTGTGGGAAGGGAAGGGGTTGTATTCTTTTTTCCTCAAGGGACCATTTTCTGTGGCAAAGCACTTTTTTTATTAGAAATAAAAGGCTCAACTTTTTCATTCTCATGCGGTCAGAAATTAATAAATAATTTGATTTGTCATTAATCTTGTCATGACATCTCAGTGCATTTTTTCGGCCAGTGTCAGTGCTATTTTTATGTCATATTGCTGCCAGGATGTCATTGAGGAAATTGTGCTATTCGAGTGGTTCACCGGCTCAGAATCATTTTTCTGCTGAGCTAAAGGGACCAGAGGTGCATCAGTGTCATCAGATGTTCTACCTATACAAAAAATATAAGGACATAATAATTCTGACAAAGCGTTTTTATTAGATATACATAATCAGACATCATAAAATAAATTAAACTAACTAATGAGCTATTACTTGTCCAGTTACATTGAGTAGGTAAAATAGACTATAGAGGAAGCACATAGCTTTCCAAGGAAACCATCTACTGTATATCTGGCCTTGGGGATTTTGTCAGATAAACTGAGGGATTAAGTGTACCCTCATGGGTTGAGACAATTCTCCTTCATCTTAAACTAAATAAACCATTTTAAAATCTAATGGATTTTCCTTAAATGCATTGTCACACAGCTGAAAACAGGGCTGCTTTCCTTAGCTTGTAAAAAGAGATTTTGGAGAGACATGTTGTGTGTGTGTGTGTGTATGTGTGTGCTTTTTCTCATTACATGGATAAAGGAAGACAATTTTTTTTATTGATCACATGATAGAATCAGAAATGTACTAGGTTAAAAAAAAAGATCTTCCTCTTTGGTTACTTTTGCACAAGTCTGATCAAATGTGCAGAGGCCTTCTCGTGCATGTTCCTGCTTCCTGTCCTTCTGATTATTTTACTGGGTGTGCATATTAAATGTTTGGGTTTGGTTGACTGTGTAAGCAAACAAATTATGATTTCATCATTCATTTAATCCAAACCTGTCCGGCATTCTGGCAGCTCAGCTATGCCATTAAAAATGGATGTAAATGCACATGTTGCTTTGTGTTGCTTTATTCTCTGGTATCAGATAAGACGTGCTCTTTACTTGGTCAGGCATAGATGACCTTTATGGATGCCTTTCAGTTCAAGTCCTCAAGTCAGCCTCCATTTCAAACAAGCCACTGCTTATCAGTAACCTATTACTTCTTGCTCTGGCTGCCTAAGCAAACATTGGCCGAGGCATTTGCCACAACTATGTACACACTTTCAAATACAGTGAACACAAACACAGATATTCGAAACATCTACCGAAACACACAGTCTCACAGCAGTTTGTCTTTAAAAGTTATCTTGGACAATGTAGCACATTGTGTTTTCAGCTGGCACGGTTATAAGGATCTGTGTTTATGTAATTTGCGATAGAATGTCATCCAGCCCTCCTTTCCTACCAAAACAGATACCTCGGCTACATTTTTTGTCCTGTGGAATTTTAGACAGGTTGTCTTGAATAAGGGAACTAAAAAAATGAGATGTGTCATTTGAGCTACAATGGCTACTTTCTCCAGAGTTGGATGTGTGTGTGGGTGTCTATTCCCCGCAGGCCAGTCGGAGTAATGTGATTGTATTTAATGCGCTCTTTACATACCCTCGAGTAAAACACATCCACGCTGTTATTGACTTGGCTTGTCTGGCACAATAAATAATGCAAATTACATTTACCTACCATAGATAATACATGTGGAATGGGAATTCTTCTGTTCAGCTGAGTTTCATGTAGGTATTGGTGTTGCTTTGAGCTATTCAGTTAAATCTGAATCCTTGTCAGTAGTCTTTGCAGTAGAATCCATTGCAAGTCATGCCCTGAAATGTATATTTCATAACTATTTATAAACTCTTCCTGTAGGTGGTGTGGGCATTGCTGCCACTCAGCTGTGCAAGACAGTGAAGGACGTCACTGTGTTCGGCACGGCATCAGCGAGCAAGCACGAGACGATCAGTGAGGGCGGAGTCACGCATCCCATCGACTATCGCACCAAGGACTATGTGGAGGAAGTCCGCAAGATCAGTCCGAAAGGTAAGAAACTTGGCCATCTGCACTAGGATAAGTGCTCTAAATTTGGAGTTTGTGTGTACAGGGATTGGAAATACATGAACCGTAAACTATAATCATGCTATCACTGAGCAATGTTATCACTGAGATTGTTTCATGAAGCAAATAGTCCAGATTGATATATTCCCAGTGGCACAAAGCAATACTGTGCTACTGCAGCATTTGTTGATCAGTGTTGAACAAACTGCAGACAGTGAGATGATACATTTTCATAAACTTTTTCCTCATGTCACAATTCTCAGAAGAGCTGGCTGCCATGTACTCTGGACTGACAGTTTCCTACCAAGCAAACTTGTTTCACTAAGCAGCGACTGTTTGGATTCTCATCACCATCAATAATGGATCTGCAGAGTTTTATGTAGATGTGGCCCTGGGCTCACTAAGAGGGCCACACAAAACGCTGCTTTTCAACAAAATGAAATAACGTTCAGTTCCTGTTTTTTTCTTTCGCCTACTGCTGTGTTCCTAGCAGGATGGAGACTGTTATTATGCTGGAGGCTCATTTTATAGTCCCCTCTAAAACCCGTCTCTGTTCTTTGTAGCATGGAGCGAGACAGATAGACATTACAGAGACAGATAGGAAGAGAGCGAGAACTGACACTTTGGACAGAATGTATCTAATTAGAAGCCTGGATCAATGTGCAGCCCTGCTCGCTACCTTTCCCTCTGTCTTTGGCTCTCCGTCAATTCATCTGTGCTGTGGTCAAGGCAGAGTCCTGCTGTGAGCCTCCCACAATCAATAGAACCAGGGTTTAGCGGAGCAAGGAGGGGTAGCCCAATTTGCGGAGTCCCCTCAGGCACAAAGGAACATCATTAAGTCCGAGCCTGCATGGCCAGACGTTAATAAGCCACAGAGAAATCTTCAGAGTTAGGTTGTTCTTTACCATCTGTTCAGAGGCTGGTTTATTAATCTCTCCACCAATGATTGGAATGGACAATGGCGGAGGGAGATTTTATTCCTCTTGTCTTATCAGTGACAAGAATGAAAAACATAAAACAAGTAAGATCTCACTCACTCTCCTCCTCTCCTCTCTTGGCACAGCTACGTATGGGTTCCTCTTCGTGTAAACATGGCACAACTTGGCTACACTCGCTACTCCTAGTGAACTCTGGCATGCGGAGGGGGCTGCTGAGGAGACTTGGCAGGCTGCTCTGACTGAATTCAGATCAGTGATAACTGTCCCCTTCTTCTCTCTTCTGCTCCAGGTCTGGACATAATACTGGACCCTCTCGGAGGATCAGACACCCATAAGGCCTACAACCTGCTGAAGCCTATGGGCAAACTTATCACCTATGGTAAGTAGTGGAAAATCATCACTTATTTTCAGCTTAGAGCCAAGACTGAGCAGCGATGTTTGAATCATTAGGGATACAAGGCAGCCCCTCCAGGAGTCAGAGAGGCAAGAATAGGCAAGAGTTAACGCAAATAGACTTGCTTAAAATGGTCAGTCTGGAAGAATGCTTTCCAATTTCACCAATCACTGCCATTTTCCACACAAAATAATAAACCACTTTTATGAGCCAAAGTCAAATAAAATTGAAGCCTCAACCTCCACAAACAAACTTCTTGTAACTGCGTTGGAAAAGACTTCTCACGCAGAGCTTCCCCCGAGGCTATATGTATCTCTCCAACCAAGCTTCTCCAGATTGTTCATTTTTAAATTTACCAGAACTTCTTATGTAATGCCTAAAACCAAACGTGTTTAGTTAAGCTTGTGGGCAGCGCTGCACAGCATGGTAAGGTCACCTGATAAATTGACTTTATGGCTTGCTACCTGAACAAGCTAGCAGCTGACAAAAACCATGAACAGGCTATTCCTGAATGCATTTTTATTCTTACTGAAACTATACATTATTAATAATATTATTTCACTTTATTACAAAAATGGAAAAGCAGCTGCTGTCATTTTTAGTGACTCCTGGAGTAAAAGCAAATTAATACAGTACATGAAATAGTTGTGGGTTTCCATAACTTGCCAGAGAATAAAGCTGCTTCCTGGTGGGCAGTGTGACCTCTCTGCAGAGGTCCATGTCCTCAGTGTGCTGTGTGTCATCCGTGGGAAGGCCTTTACCCTTGCTCTGTTGCGATGCCAATCTGGAACCAGCATGCATGCAACAGTGGGCGGGGTCGGCATCCATGGAGAACAGGGCCTTTCCTTTGCATGCTGCACAAAAACCCACTACCCAGCATGGTGCCCCCCACCCTCGCCCATTCACCCTCTCTCACCCCTACAGAACCCCCCC